AGCAAATCTTATAATTATTACAAGTATTTAATGTTTTATAAAACAAATATATATATTTATATATTTGTTTTATAAAATACGCGCGCGTGAAAAAAAAGAAAGACAAGAAAGACAATCACATAATAATTTTTTTTAATGTATTAATTTTTACACAATTAAATATTCATTTTTACATCTTTAAAGTTGTTCTAGATTGTTTTATAAAACAAATATATATATTTATATATTTGTTTTATAAAATACGCGCGCGTGAAAAACATAAATATAAAGAAAGACAATCACATAATAATTTTTTTTAATGTATTAATTTTTACACAATTAAATATTCATTTTTACATCTTTAAAGTCTGATGTTTTGTTCTAGATAATAGAAAATTTCTTATATCAAGATATATATATTCTTGAACTATTATTAAAAATTTAACACTTTGCTTTGCTTTGGAGACCGTCTTCTGATCACTGAGAGAATTTGCGATAAACTATATATTGTATAAATTGTATTTTACAAAAATCAAAAAAATTATAACTCATTTCGAGTCGATCCTAAATTGATGGCACATTAATCAACTATTTGGTTAACTGCATTGATTTCATATCTGTCTCAATAGATTAAGATGGAGAGTAAAAGTTAGCGTGTGTGTGTTACATAGAAGAAATAGAGATATACACTATTTTTTTAGATCGTTTTAAGGAATTGATAGTATATAACATATGTCAAATAACTATACACAAAAATTTATGAAAATAAAAATTTTAATTTTACAGAGCAAATCTTTACTTTAACTTACAAATTAATTATTAATTTTATATTTTAGAAGGTTAAAAATGTGCTTTATGCGCAATGCGCAAATTTATGAATCTCGAAATTAGATATATTAACTTTAACGTAGCTGATCCATCGTGCAGTCCATCCTTAAAAGCATCTTTTGATGATAGGTCCTTTGTAGATCCTCTTTTTTTAGAAAGATTTTTCTAGGGGTTCGGTATAATTCCTAGAAGTCTAGTATATCTAGTATGTGACCTGCACACACACAATAGCTGTTTTCCACTTTCTGTTTGTTAGATGTTTGGTTGAGAGGGGATGACAGATATAAGAGTAAAATCTTTCGAGCGGGGCATTCTTTCGTACATTGCTAACGTTAGTGCTAACACATTTAAGCTACGTTGTAACGTTCTGTCGCATACATATCCATATTTGATTACGCGTTATTATCGGAATATTATAGTATCATATTTTAATTTTCTATCAACGTGTACTTGGCTGCAAACGAACATCCAAGAAGGGAATAATATTTTAATGTGTGTGACCTTCATTCTATAAGAGTTATGGATTTCAATACAGAACAGACGTTAAAAGAGGTAAATGTTAGTAAGCTTACTGACAATTGGGATGTAATAAATGAAGGTATATGGTCACCTGTGAAATGCATGGACATTAATTGTGGTTTTGGATACACAACTAGGTACTTTCTTTTGCCAGAACTTCATAATAGAGCGACAATAATAGGTAAGAATATAATAAATTGTAAAAGAACATATAATAATATATTGATATTTCTTAATTCAAATATTTATTTGAAGGTACTGATAGTTCAAAAACAATGATCGAATATGCGAGATCAAAATATAAAAATCATGAACGAATCGAATTTGATGTTCTTGATATCCAAACGAAAAATTTGCCTGAAGAATATATCACTGCATTTGATCATATATTTTCATTTCCCACTGTGCATTCTCGTAATGACATCTTGTAAGTACAAATGAAATTTTTATTTTGTAAAATACAGAAAGAAAGAGAAAGGTAATCAATCTTATACATGTGTTTCACAAAAAACGGCTTTAAGTAAATAATATTTTTATATACTTCTGTTGAACATTTTCAAAAAATTATGATAAAATATTAACATTTTAAAGGCAAAAATGCTTTATGTTATTTGGTTTTGGTATTTTATTAAAATAAAATTAGATTAAAATAAAATTAGATTAAAATAAACGTTTTGTAATCCAAGAATATTCTGTATACGAAACTTTTAGCAATTAATTATATTTCTTTTCTTTATTTAACAGACAAGAGTTTCAAAATGTTTATCAGATGCTCAAACCTGGTGGAAAGTTCCATCTATCTATGGTGATATCTCACGATGCGTTCACACTGTATAAAAATATGGTGGATCATCCAACTTTCGGCTCATATTTTGAGGTATAGATATATCAATATTTTAGATATATTTTGTATTATTTATTACATACTTCTAATTATTATTTTTATATATTTACATATTACATGAAGAAATATACTGCGCCATTTGATAATCCTGAAAGAGAAGTAAAGCGATTACTTCTACGTCTTGGATTTAACGTACGCTACTGCCGTTCTGTACCAAATATGAAATATAAAACAGACTATCTTTTACGTAAGTAACTGTTATTCTTAAACATACGTATATATGTCGATCATGAATGTTTGAATTTCGTAGAAAAAAAATCAAATTTAGTTTAATAGAACCATTTTATTATGATATAAATTATATTAATAATTTAACTCTCTCTCTTTTTCTCTTTATCTCTTTTTATTTATTTTTTTTTTTTATATAATATATAGTTACAGTTGAGAATTATCATTTATTTTGACAGCGTATATTTTTTCTGGTCTTTCCTTTATAAACGAGCTGTCATCTGAACAAGAAAAGGATCTCAAGAATGAGCTTACAATTTGTTATAATAAAATAGAAAAAAGAATTGATAGTGATGTTTCTAATGCTTCAAATGTTGACGAATCTAACTATCGTGATATGTATGACATATTGCAACTTTCTGCAACTAAACCTCGAAGAGATGGATAATAACTGTCTGGATATATTATCCACATTATAATAACAATAAGTTTATGCAATTTACAATATTATAAATCACCGATCGCATTAAAGGTAATATTTTAGTGTAAAAGTTTGGAAAAGATTAATTTGCTTTTTTGTTTTTTTTAATGTTTATGATTTTAAAATTAAACTCTTAAGAATAGTTTTATCGAAATATTTACCGAAATAAGAAATCTACAGACATTTACAAATTCTGCTCAATTTACAATTAACCGACTTAATGTCAACTATTTCCAACTATAAATCAATACATTTGTTTCTAATTTTGACTTTTGTCTGCCTATGGCATATATAGATTACCAAATGACAATGAGAAATGCCTATTTTAAAAGAGAATATTTCTTACAAAAGTGTTTAGTATTAAGCAAAATATATACATTTATAAAAAATCTATTAGACAAGTAGCAGATTGAGCACAAAATAAAAAGAAGCCATAAAATTTGAATGTGACAATTAGATTATAAGCAAAAATTTTCTTTGGACAATATGTCCGATCCGAGCAGTAAAAGTTTATGCGTCAAAACAAGAGCGCACAACTAACAAATAAAACTGTAAAATAAAATTTTTAATCAGAAATAAATTTATTGTGAAAATTACATCGCACACACGTGCACGCACGCATGCTCGCCTGCAGAAGCGTTTAGTGCGAAAATTCGTGCGTGTATACATGTGCCTGATTATTACTACATACAATACACACAAATAGTATATAGATAAAGTATTAATTAATATGCAGTCATTAAATAAACATTTATAACATATTTGTTTTTGATAAAGAAATCAATAAGATTGTAATAATTAAATCTTTTCTAAAAAAAATCTTATTCAAAAAGATAAAACAATGTTAAATCTCCAAGTTTTTAGTTTTTACTTTGTAAAAATATCTATATTTCTTACAGGATACTTCTTTTAAATCTTTAGCATATTTCTTAGAATATTTCTTTTGAATCTTTCTTTAGCTTTCCTAGAAAGATTTTTTAAAAAGGTCGATACATTTCCCAGCAATGTCGACTACCTGCGCTGCATACACACAATAGCTGTTCGCAAATTTCTGTTTGTCGATTGCCTGAGGATATCGGATGTATAAGCGATGACTTTTGACCAATATTTTATTCAAATCTGTCGTACATATTCAATCGTACGTATTTTGTGCGTGATTACTTATAATTATTCCAATATAAGAATATTTTAGTATATTTATCTTCATCTTAACAAGATGCATGAAGTTTAATCCGAAATTCACTTTAAAAACACACAATGCTTGGTTCAGTTTTTTTAACCGGAAAAGAGATCCTTGGGAGCTTGGGAAATGCATGGAAGTTAATTGTGATTTTGCATATATAACAAGACACATTCTTCCGCTAAAAGTTTATCCAGATACGCTAATAATAGGTATGCTACTTTGAATTTGCAAGAAATTCCTTTTTAAAAATTATGCGTTACTAAATATATTATAATATTTAGTACAAATTAATGAAATCTTAAATCATTTTTTTGCGATTAAAAACTGATAGTATACAATTAAATACTTGGCTAGTTGCATTGATCTCATATTTGTTTTTAAACAGTTAATTTTTTTTAACAATGTTTAATATAGTCTCCTATTTTTTATACTTCTGTACTTTTTATACAAGTTGAAATATTTTTTTCTGTGCTTGATGTCTTTTACTATCTTTTTAGAGATTTTCTTAGAGAGAAGTTTGGTATTTTCTACAAATCTACTACCTGCGTTTCAAACACACATGCACATTTATAGCTTTACACACTATAGCTTCATTTTCTTTTCATTACCTAAGTGTGGATATGTAAAGGCGTTAACTCACGTTCTATTCTGTCCTATCGTCCATTTTTTATGCGTGATTACATTCTGCTATTAATATTAAAATAATAATAATAAGAAATAATATTAGAATATTAGAAAATATATTTTAGCATATCTGTCTCCATGTTAACTATAAAATCTTGCAAGTTTAATCTGGAACGGTCTTTAGAAATAAACAATGCTTGGTATTTCCATTTTCGTAAACAAATCGAAGAAATACAAGCGATGAAGAGCTTATAACAAAAAATAAATAAAAAAACAGAATATAATTTTTTAATTGTTTTAAAATGCTTTCCGAGAAATATTACTTTTAAATCAGTGTAAAGGTTGATTTAAACATATTGATATTTGTTTATGTTTATTGACTAGTAAGACACTTATTAATGATTTTAAAAGCTATTTACGTGACATACTTGTTATGATGTCAAGTATCGTGCGTTATTATTCGTCGGTAGTCTTTCAAAATAATATAAGACCGCTTTCTCATAGATATATTTTCGGCATCGACAATTCGTAATAATAATAAAATAATTAAAGTTAATTATTATTAAAAAACTGTATCATATCGGATATTAAGAGAGAGCATGATAAGTACAATTCTTTTCCTGAAAATCTTTTCAATTCTTTTTTCAAAGTTATTGAAATTTAATGCATTTATAATATCAATTTTATACATATGATATATTGGTGATATATATTTGTTTAATGAAAGAAGCTATAATTTTTTAAACTAATTTTTTTTTATATAATATTTGCAATGAGAAAAAAATTCCGCATTTTAAATTTTTTGTTTGTATTCGTCTTTTTTCAAAAAGAAAACTTTTATATGCAGATATTTAAGACAATAATAGACACGGCATTCCAAAAACCGT